TGTGTGTGTGTGTGTGTGCGTGCGTGTGTGTGTGTGTATGTGTGTGTGTGTGTGTGTGTGTGTGTGTTTGTGTATGTGTGTGTGAGAGTGTATGTGTGTGGAAGGAGGGGAGGATGGGGATCCAGCTTTGTAATATTTGTTAGATTGTTTGATATTGTTTGTTCGTGTGTTTTTGTGTATTGATGTAGATACAGATGGTAGAAATGTAAGAACAAATTTGAGGCCCAGGTCACACGTTCTGGTAGTCACAAGTCTTAATTAGACAAAAACAGATTCTCACGTTTTACGTTTGACCGATGACCTCTTTCAAAAGTTTCAGTAAGACGTGTATTGCATTTGCAATACAATAAGGTCATATTGATTATTTTTTTAAAAATAAGTATCGAAGATTAGATGAAGTGTTATTAGGGAGTAAGATACGCAGACAAGACGGAGGAAAGATAAAGACAAAAGAGGTTTGATAGGAAAAAAGGAGCAAATCACATCAGAGCGCCCCTAAACCACCCACAATGGCTTCTGTACCTTTCTGTATTTTTTTTCAGGCGGATATTGAGCCGTTCTACAAAGCCTACAAATATTTCTTCAACATGGTCAACGCGGAAGCCGATCTGGTGAGTAGAAACTGTCACACCATGCACCACGTGACATCAGTACACCACGTGACGGGTTAAGACATCAGTACAATACGTGACGGGTTAAGTCATCAATACACCACGTGACGGGTTAAGAACATTAATATGCCACGTGAAGGATTAAGAAAATGTGAACACCACGTCTAGTGATAAGACATTAATCCACTGCGTGACGGGTTAAGAACATTAACAATTATGGGATGGTTGTGAAAGTTCTTCTTTATGTGGTTGGACTGGTTTTTCTTGTTTCTGTGAAATATTTTCTCTTTTGTGAATGATCATGCGATTGGTGTAAAGCGCCCACAGTTTTTACTAGTACGGGATAGAGCGCTATATAAATGCAATCTATAATAATAATAACTATAATAATA